CAAACGAAAAACGAATACGCTGCAGCAGCAGCTTCACTCTATTAAAATCGAGTGCTGACGACGTTTTCCGCGAAAAAGCTTTTTCTCCTCTCTTTCCTGCAGTGTACAACGTATAATGTGTGATATTATTATGTTAAATATAAGTTTTACTTCTCCATGGTTACCGCAGTGGGTACTCCGTCGAACGCAGTGACACTCTATTCGTGTGCGTGGTATTGAAAAAATTCACTTTCGATTATTTTCTATCACTGTCGACTTAATTTGCATTAGACGCTTGTACAGTCGAGCTTAATCCGTCCGCCGACTTTTATTCAAGTTCATGGAATAATATTTATTCGCTTACATGGGTGTACTATATACCTTTCAAGTTAAGGAAAAGGTAGTGGGAAGTTGGCTCTCAAATTATTTTCTGGGCGAAAATAAGTTTTATCCTCGCGCTATGCCGTTCACCTTATCAATCAATCGAAGTTTTTTCCAGTATTTTCAAATGAACTCGCTGTAATATTTTCGTTATAATTACAATTTTTAATTTTCCACGTGAATTTTCACGGAAATAGGAAATACGGAAATAATCCTTTTTAAAAATTGATATTCTGCTTATAATAATAACGTCGATAGAAACTGTGCAGTAGTATGAAATAGTCGCTTCCGGATAATCGGCGGTGAGTTGCTGCAGGGCGTATCGCAAACAAATCTGAGGGATTATTAAATTTATCGATCGAGCAGTGCAGGCTATTAATTACCATTGCAATGGACGTGTGTTCAGGTGAAGGTGTAGGGCAAAGACGATGATAATGTCAAAGTATGTATTTATTGGAGCATGCCGTTATCGAAAAACCACTCTTGGATGGTGTTACAACTAGTAAATTAAAATCTCGTATAATTGTAACACGTGAACGTATCTATATTATACCTTCTACAGTTCTGAAGCGTTTAAAGTTTACACTCCACGCGCTATTTTATACGTATTAGCATGTTCTTAAAAATGTCGGGCGCGTCATGTAACAAACGAAACTTATTATAACAATATTGACGGAAAAAAACTTGTATGTATATATATATAATATACCTAAACCACGTTATTGTTCAGTCGATTTTTTTTTAACGAGTTGTATTTAACCGCGACGGTGGCTGATCTGAAACGTGGTGTTATTTTATACCATGTGCGATACGTCATACATATAGACAATAATAAGTGCGATGTGAATAAGTTATATATACGAGTAGTTAATGATACTAATATCCAAATCAACTATAAAATATTGAACTGTTGAGTAGTATGCTGTTATGTCAAGATTAACGAATAATAAAATATCTCTGCTCTCTGCTTATTTATACTATTGCATGTAACACCGTTATAGACTGGATATCTAATCGATTCAATATCAGTGCTTCAATCTGATGTGTAACTCCTCGCGGTACCTTTCCATGCATGAAAATACGTCATTTCAGAAATTCATTTTTATGTTTTCAATTCATGTTTAATAACGATTAATCGATTTCGTTGGTAGGCATTTCCAATGTAAATTATTGCTGAGTCCCTTGTAATGCTTCTATTTTTTGTAATTCTTCAAAGTTGCTATAGTTGCTTAACGTTTAATTATTATATATGTTTAATTATACGTTAAATATACGTTTAATTATCAAATATATTAACGTTAATTTGCCATGCGCAGAATCCGGGTCAATATTTAATGTACGTAATACGATGTTTTGTTTTCGCTGCCGATAATTTCCATAGGCCTCTTTTTGTTAACGCTCGTCATTAGTCTTGTTCTGCTAAAACGAATTTCTAAGTATGAATAACGTAATTGAAATAGTTCGTAACGAATACGATGGATAATCGGCTAACGAATGTATCTAAAGTCTGTTAACGCGCGCACCTACAGCCACATATGTGTCCTTTTCGACTAAATGTACTAAAATATATGAGTGTGTGTGTGTGTGTGTGTATTATGTGCTTACACTTTATTTACCGCTTCTTCGGCGGCTTTCATTCGCTTCATTATTTTGTTTTGCGATTTTTCTCTCATTTTATATATATAATGGACGCCCCTCAAGTCTATAACTACGGCGTTCGTCATCCGGGTCCTTTCATTGCGCCCGCTGACCACAATGATTCAATGCCAACAGAAATATACTATATCTGCATTAGGTGATAATGCGTTAGGTTCTGATAGTTTGCGCCGTTCGCCATCTAAAATAACCATATAGGCGTATCATTTTTTGTTTCACTTCTGTTTGTTATTTCTTCGTCGAGGTCGATAAATATTCTTTTGGTGGTAAGTGTATTGATTGAATTGTTAACTCTATTATATATGTATTATATTTATTAATTAATTAATTAACACGTTCGTAGTTTTGCAATGATATATGCGCAACTAATTGCAGTCACCACCGTACATGATCTCCTTAATAAAAATCGTTTTGGTGACGCACATAATATACAGCAGACGCATGGGACAAGGTCTTCGGAAGTGGACGTGTCGAAGGGCGGTTTGCGAATTATTGAATACAATTATTATTGTTGGTTTCAATAACGTCTCGCACATTATATTTAAATTCGCTCTTATGCATTGCGAGCACACCTTTTTAAAAGGATATTTTGAATGCCGACGGTGTGCGCCCACATAATGAAGTATGCGGCCGTGTTGAAAGCAAACAATGAAAAAATACGTTTAATAAAAGAAAAAAAATTAATTAACGGAACACCAGTAAGCCGTGCCTATACGATGTGATTGGATATGATTTAAAACAAAATATATCGTTACATGATAATTTCACTTACTAAAAGTAGATACCTTTTTAATACTGCCCAAATGAAAATAGTAATCAGTTTTATAAATAATATTATATAATAAAAACTGTGGAACGAAAAACTGAGTATCATTATTGTAATCTATAATACTATCGAAATTACCATCTGCGCTTTTCTATATTAGTTGCGTGAGTTCTTTTTCGATATTTTGTTTTTTTTTTTCAAATGCCCAAAGAGTATAAAAATAATTGCACCAAACGCCGACTGTAAACATAAAGAAGTTAGATATTTTTTTCATTAATACGTAGGTTCGGATTAAAATAAAACATAAAGATACTTGATGTTTGAATGTGTTTATTTTATGTACAGATTGTTTGTGTTAATATAATATTAACACAATTGCGCAAAAGAGAGACTTTTTTAAATTTTGTATCAGCACAAAAGTTGATAAGTAAAACTATTAATAACAAAGATAAAATAACGAAATTATGTGGATAAATAAAATGTTATGTGATGGTAAAACAAAAATGAACCAACTCATTTTTTAATATGCCGTGACCGTAGTTATACTACATGTATAAAATTAAATTAAATTAATTCTTCTATTCCTCTTAATTTTAATTTTATTAATGTGTGTTAATAAAATAATGTTAGGGGGCTCTTACTCGTATGTATTACATTTTTCAGTCGTTTGAATTTTTTATACGCAAATTATGTAACAGTTGATTTTAAAACTAACAAAATAAAAAATATCCTTTTAATTCAAAGCCAATCTCGAGGTCAGTGTATGACTAACAGGTTTTATTTGGCACCTATTGTTGGGGTTCTCCCGAGAACACTCAAATGATGATCACGACTGCTGTCTGAGGGCTGACGCGGTATTCGTAGAAACTCCTGTTGCGTTCGTTATCGTAACAAGGCCGATTCGTAAACACCTAAGTTCCGGCAACTGGTTGGACCATTGTGGTCAGTGGGTTTCCGCTCTTCGAATCAAAGTCCGATTGTCCTATAAGTGAAAGACATGTAGAGAATAAGGTTAGACATCTAATAATTCGAGACATTCAGAACATCTTTGTACGAGACCTCGAAATATTAATTTATCATTAAATGTTATGATTTACTCTTTTATTGTACCTCTATTTCAACCATCACGTAAAAATATAATATATATATGTAAGGATATTATATTATTATATTTCTTTTGGTACACATATAATCCATGATAGTTCATGCCTCATACTTCGTATACTTTAAGTTATTTTTATGATTCAAAGTATGTATTCAAACATTGATAATAATACAAAGTTTGAATTATATTTTATTTACGAGCATATTATGCGGTTAGTGTAATGTTATACATTTAAATATAATTTTTTTGTTTACTTAGTCGAATTCCTTTTACCAATTGTAATCGAATGTGCTTTTCTTTAATATCCATGTACGATTTCATGAAATTTGTTAAGAACCGTCTTAATTTTAATGTAAATCTTGCATCTACCACATAACAACCTTGTTTTATACGTTTTCGTATTTACAATTCGTACTCTGCACATATTATTAAACGTTAATTTTCTCATATTTTTTTTCATATGTATACTTGAACTTTTGTACTTGAAATTGTATACGCGAGAGCAATATAATACAACTATTACATTTAACATAGAATAAGAGATTATGGTTTTACGATAAAATATGAAAAAAAATAATACACTCAAAAATGGACAGAAAATCGCAATAATCGAATTAGTATATATCAGATACCAATAATGCGTTTATAAAAGTTATAATTTTAACTTCATGAATATAAACGTCATTGGAATGAATTCCTATATATCGAAGAGAAATTATTTTTATTGGGAAATATATTTATTTATTTAAACATTATGTATATAGTATATACCAGTATATACTGTACAATATACTATATATATACTATATACTATAATTGGTCATTGGAAACCCCTGGTTTTGAAAAAAATAAATTATAAAAGAATGCGGAAAATCATAATATGGTTTTTTATGATCACAATAAATTTATTTACCATATTATGGTAAATAAATGTATTGTAACATAAAAAGTGTATAATAGTATATTTAGTTACTTTTTATATTTTTGTTCTTGCTTTTTAAATCAGCCAAACAAAGACTCAACATTTTATTCTTATACTGTACATTTGTTTTAAAATTGTATTCGTTGTTATTTAACTCCATATAATAATGAAAATATTATACTTGCTTATAGGTCCTCGCTTCACTAACAGTATCACTATGCTCAATGGTAGTTGGATTTGCGTCTGCCTACACGTCACCTGCCTTACCGTCAATGAACAGCCCCGGAAGTCCGCTGTCTGTAAGCGAAGAAGAAGTGAGTAAATTGTTGTGTTGACATTTTGTCTATCATCTACAATGTAGATTTACTCAATGGTCAATTAAATATTTCTAGGGTTCATGGATCGGCAGTCTCATGCCACTGGCAGCACTTATTGGGGGCATGGCCGGTGGACCCCTCATCGAATCCATTGGTAGAAAAACCACAATTCTTGCTACCGGAATACCTTTTATTATTTGTAAGTAAACATCTTCATTTCAACAATCGTAAATATTAATTTCGTAATTGGACCGACTTTATAGGTCTAGGTCTAGTAGGTACTCGTGTATTTGGTATTAACCTACTTTTTGGATTCCGTAATATCACATAATAATTTTCAAGTACTCGTTAATTCGAATCATTGTTTTTTATTCTATTTATTCACTGTTTATTGATAATATCTAACTAATACTGCATTTATCGATTATTGACTGTTGTTTTTTATTGTTTACAGCCTTCATTCTGATTGCGATGGCTGTCAATGTTCAAATGGTAATGGCCGGTAGGGCCATAGCTGGATTCTGCGTGGGTATTGCTTCATTAGGTCTTCCCGTGTACTTAGGAGAAACTGTGCAGCCTCAAGTCAGAGGAACGTTGGGTCTTTTGCCCACAACTCTCGGTAACAGTGGTATCTTATTATGTTTCATAGCTGGAAAATATCTCAACTGGCAAATGTTGGCCATTCTTGGCGCTTGTATTCCTATACCTTTCTTAGTGTGCATGCTTCTCATCCCTGAAACTCCACAATGGTACATTAGCAGAAGTAAGTTGTGACTTTGTGAGACTTTTTTTGGATTTCAATCGATTTTATACTTAAACACGCTTTAATTTGCACGCGCAGACAAAAACAAGAAAGCAAAGAAAGCTCTTCAGTGGCTGAGAGGCAAAAACGCAGACGTAACACAAGAATTCAGCGAGATCGAGAAAGCTAATCATGTGGGCAAAAATGAAGAAATGCCTGGATACCTCAGCTTATTCTCCAAAATGTACTCGAAACCCTTGCTTATATCCATGGGACTCATGTTATTTCAACAACTCAGCGGAATAAACGCCGTTATTTTTTACACCGTTAAAATCTTTAAGGTATTTAAAGCATCTATGCATTTATATACATTTTTTCTTTATCGTAAATTATACTTTGACGATATTTATGATGTGGGCTCGACCTTATAGAATTACTACGTAGACACGCAGTTTATACTCACTACAAATATTGATTGATTTTTTTTTTTTTTAGGAAGCGGGAAGCACCATCGACGAAAACTTATGTACAATCATTGTCGGCATTGTCAATTTCCTGTCAACGTTTATAGCGACCGGTCTTATTGATAAACTCGGCCGAAAAATATTATTGTATGCTTCCAGCGCAACGATGGCAGTCACTTTGATCACACTCGGTACGTTTTTCAACTACAAGAACAGCGGTGCCGACGTTTCCCAGTACGGATGGCTGCCGTTGGCCAGTTTCGTGTTTTTCATTATCGGTTTCGCCATCGGTTTTGGACCGATCCCTTGGCTTATGATGGGCGAGATTTTGCCAGGTAAATTTACGATTCAATATATACTATCCTAAACCTTGACTTGACATTTTATGACCTCTTCCTTCAAAACTAGTAAACTCTCTATATTTTCCACTAGTGTATTTATAATATTTTTATGGTTAATTTCAGCTAAAATTAGAGGTACAGCGGCTTCATTGGCAACAGCTTTCAATTGGGCCTGCACGTTTTTAGTAACCAAGACATTTTCCGACCTTTTGCGAATTTTCGGAGCTGACGGCGCGTTCTGGCTTTTCGGTGGCATTTGCTTACTGGGCCTCGTGTTCATCATATTCTGCGTGCCAGAGACTCAAGGCAAGAGTCTCGAAGACATCGAACGCAATCTAACTGGTGTCGGCAAAGGTCCAGTGAGACAAGTGAGAAGAATGAGTTCCATAGCGCATTTGAAACCACTACCGATGGCCATTTAAAAAAATAGGACAACACATACATTTTTTTCTTTGGAACATTTTTGCGGCATTACATTTTTGTGATGACAAAAACGGGCTTATTCTGAGTACCTCTATAATTTTACATTGTAAATTAACGTTTTTCATACATTTTAATTAATTGTTTTGACCATTTTTAAAACGCATTAGACTACACTGTTCTAAAGTGTATTTTATAATGGTGCTAAAATATTTCAGACAATAATTAATATAAAAACAATTTTATGTTATAAATACCTGAACAATAATCATTGATAATGATCGTCATTGTTTCCACATTCCGGAGAGTTGGTAAAGTTCCATTTTTTAAATTATTTTTTTCGTGCTGTGATAGAGACAGAGCATCCCTCCCTCCAGTGATAATGTTTACATCGATACACATAGCTAAACCGTTTGCGTTTTAATTTGTAATAATAATCCCTCAACAAACCCTTGGAAGATTTCTTATTAAACTTAAGAATAGAATATAATGCAATATATTATTTAGCTGGGCACTCGTTATTGTACTTACAATTAAATTTTCATTATTACACAATATGTCAATACGCTTAAGCCACATTATAGGGGGAGGCCTTCTCATTTGAAGGTGTATGTTTATGTAGATTAACGTTTTTAATATTATTATATAGGTGTAAAGTAATAGTAACACTCGTTTACTAAATCAGTGAACAAATGTTTTTAACTATTTATATTATGTTTTTTTCATTCATTTTACATTGTACAATATGCAGAAGGTATTTTTTTCTATTTTAAATCCATTAAAAATCCATTAATTTGGATTCTGATGGTTTGAAAAACTAAAAAGTATCAAGTTACAGCAATATTTCAAAAACATATACTGTAATGGAAGATGATTTTTATATATATATATATAAAAAAACGTATTAAACTAAAAACCTGTAATAATGTTTGAAACACGATGTCAATGTAAAACATGGTGGTTAAAACTATCGGTATAATTTTTTAAATGACGACTGTTTCCTTTTTTTAAAATTGTTATTGTGATTTGATACTAATTATTCATTAATATTGAAAAGCCTCGCGGTATTCATTTTTTACCAAATAAATATTATTAACTGAAATTTATTAGGGAAATTAGTTTGGTTTAATTCAGACAGGATAATTTTGTGATTTTATTGTTTCTTTAATTACATTTAGTTACCAATATAAAACTATAATTTTTATTTTTTGTTAGGACATTATTTATTAAAAAAAATTCATAGATTTTCCGATGATATGTTATTTATTTCTAGATTTATTTTATTTAGAGTTCAAATATATACATTTGAAATTATAGTATTGTCAATTAAATTAATAAAATTAAAGCAATAGATAAGTTAATGAATTAACAACACATTCCATTTGACAAAAATATAGTATTTTATCAAATGTAAAATATAAGTTTTTTTTTTTATATGATACATTTCTGATTGTAACAAAAAAATTGTGGCTTAAGTATGTTTGTTAAAATGTGTTGTTTCATTATATTTATTATATTATAATATTATATACATTTTAGAGACTTAACCTTTTTTTTATAAAATGAGCGTATGATAAAATATTGTTTTATTTATTTTTGTATTACAAAATTATTTGAATGTTTAGTGTTATAACATTATTTAATTTATGTGTACAAATAAACATTATTTGTTAAAAATATTTATTTTATTTATTTATTTTAATGTTAACTTCAATTCCTAACTACATACTATTTATATACTTATCTAAGCTTATCTTCAGGACACAATGTGCCTATATCCTAACATGTTTTAATCAAATTTTACAACATCAAATACATATGGTAGTGTATTTATATTGTAATTATTGATATTGATTATCACTTTAGAATATTTTAATATTATGTAATGTACTATGTATGATTTGAGAAAATAGTACTGCAGTACTATATTCATGGATGCTATTATTTTAATAGTAATTAAAAGGTTTTATTCTTATTTCTTCTGATAATAATATTCAGTTAAATTTACAACTGTACAATTATTCAAAAATAATAATCAACAAAAAATACAATGCAACTAATTAAATGAAAATAATTAGGTATTTGATATTAAAAACAATTGTGTGTAATATATACACTCATATATAAGTACACATCAAAGCTTATGTTCATACTAGGCGTAATTAATTTCAGTGGCGATTTTATGGGGGGGGTCACATGTCTTGAACCCCTTCTTTACCAGTCGAAAAAAGTGATTTATAAGCCATAAATTACTTGCTAAGAGTTATAGAGAAAGAGAACATTAATTTATATCATGAGTTTATTAATACTCTTACTTTATTTTTACTCTTCATTTGTATTTAAAATAATAATATAATATAATTATTAATTCATACCTTATATGTATTTAATCCCCTCCTCAAAAATTTAAAAATATGAAACTAGTTAAGTTAATAAGTTATAAAAAAATTGTTAATCATAATTCAAATAATATCGAATAAAAAATATAAAGTTTAATTCATACAAAAGTCATAGTCCCTTTCTTATCCTCAAAAACGATAAAAATACTATTTAAAACAGGTAGGTAACTAATATATATTTATAATTCTTTATAATATGTTACAATTTTTTTTAATTAAAAATATACAGTTAAAAAAATGTCTTGGTTCCAATTTTCAATTTATAGAAATGCCACAAAAAACATATTTTCAAATTATTTTAAAGTTTAATTATGTATTGTAAAAAAAAACAAAATACTCGTAGTTATAATTCAAAAATCATTACAATAAAAATTGATAAATATGTAAAAATCACTTTTCGTAATATTTTTTTAGTTTTATTTATTTTACTTATGAGATCACGATTACATAAATAGTAATAATTATATATACGCATATACTTGGATCTGTATTTATTGTGATTATTTTAAAATTTTGAAAAAAATGAGTCATTGAAATAATATTGTTATATATTGTTATATATTTATGAATACGTACATGTATATGAAAGTAAACTTGAATATACTGCATTATACCTTACTTAAATTAATAATGTCACGATATCATTATTATGCATGTTAATAAACATTATACATGTAACGAGATTGAAAAGTTGAATAAATTACATTTTCGTAAAATTAATTACCAGATATTATACTTTATAAAAATGTGTCGCATAAACAAAATATAAAACCTTTGTATATTATAATATGGAAAGTCGTTACCCGTTGAATAGAAATTAAGGGAAATTATTTAATATGAATTTTTAAATTTTATTTTTTGGTATTAAAATATCTAAGTTTTACCGTTTTAGTCTTTAAGACATATGTGACATAACCTATGAAGTATTAAGAATTATTAATAATATCACTTTGAAGAAAAATCATTGTTGTATAATTTGCTGTATAAAATATTAGAATTGGACGAGTACTAAAATTTTTATACATATTCGACTCAAATCGACAAAAAAATATTTGTACTTAAGTTTATTTAATTAATTTATTTAAAAATTAACGTTAAAATTATAGAAAAAACTGGGATTTAAATATAATCGGTAGAGAATATCAGGAAGGTTGACAGTTTGAATTAATAACAATATATTATTATATTTTGATAATTTATTATTATGATAACGACATTTAATAGAGATTGGTAACTATGACATTTTTTCGTGTACTCGAATTTTGAACTCAGCTCCACTTGAAATAATTAAAACTCGACTGAACTCGACTAGACATAAAAAAAAAAATACTAATTCAACTCTATAAAATATAAATACAAAATCAAATTCTTTAAAATAAATGGATATTGTACGCATATAATACGCTGACTTTAAAATAAAATTATATAATTTAAACTAGGTATTTTAATAATAATGTAATGATTGCGTTATAGTAATATTTACATTCAAATAAAAAGTTATAATTAAAAAACTTAAGAAAGATAAAAAAATCATAAATAGATACTATCGAGTTATCTACACGAAAAAAAATTGTTTTACTAAAATTAATTAAATAATAAGATTATTGTTAAGCGGCCCTCACATGATCAATATAATTGACAGTAGTCCTCAAATGATGATCAGTACAAATTAGTGACAACACTCAATATGTTAATACACAGTAATTATTTTAGTTTATCTGTGTTTGATTGTGTTCATCTACATTTATTTTCTATTTTTATTTATTTTAATAAAATAATTACTATTGAACATGAGTTATCAGCAAAAAACATGCTTAAAAATTATATATTCCATCCGTTCCAAAAAAACGAGTTTTAAAAAAACGAAAACGATGGGTGAAAGAATGAATTTCTAAGCGGAAGCAGTACACATGGTAACTGTTTTAAACGAGGTACAAATTTCAGATCCAAAGGACTTCAACAATTATTATTCTGAATGAATATTAACAATTATTATCAAATTTTAAAAAAAGTAACACCATTGATCATAAAAATAAATACTAATGTGCATAAGAGTATTTCTAAAAATTAACGTCCCTCATGGCTGCATAAATTATACTGATGAACTGTCATTATTAAGGTTAGGATATTTATGACCTTAAAAATACTGGAAAATGTATGCAAATATGCCCTTTAAAAATTAATTATGACATTTAAAATGTTTATTATTAATTAAAAATGTACAATTTTTTAACTAAAATAATGCAGTAAAAAGGTAAAAAATAGTAAACTATTAATTATTTATTATATAACAATTTAACTATTAATAATTAATTAAATTATTCCATGATTTAGCAATGGGTAGATAATATCTATTATATCAATATATTGTTTACTCAATTAATTGATAGCATGATATTCGTTTCAAACCAATGTAATTTAAAGTTATAATCATGATTGACAATACACCAATATTTATAAATTTCAATATAAAAATTAAATTATAATTTAATATTAATCGTACGAGTATTAATAATCATGCATTATTTTAGAAAGGCGCAGTCCAATTACGAGTATAATTATTATAAAAGTAAGGAGTGCAATCGCTCACCCTGACTCTTCCCCCAAAATGACACTCCTGTAAAGTAATATAATATATCAAATATATTTCAGTCTGGGGGATCAAAACACTAGGCATCACCCCCTGGATCCGCTACTGCTCCAGAGGGTACGTTTATACTAGTTTTCTTAACCATTTCAGGAACACCCTGTATAAAATATTAATGTACAAGTACATCGATATTTTTTGTTTTCAAATTATATTTGTAACGTTTAAAATGCTTTTGTTCGGATTGTTTCAAATTATATAATTTTCCAAATTATAATAACGTTATTAATAATTATGATACAATATTATTTGTGTCAGTACTGACAACCGGTAACTGTAGAGTTCATAATGGATTTACATAATGAAAAATGCAAGTTTTATCCTAACTATAACGTACTTAACTAACTCGCAATAGAACAAAAATAGCAGCCAGCGAACACCTACGATAAATATCTGTTGGAATACAGAATTTACTATAGTCAGTATTAAAGATGTTCATATCACGCGCACGGCTCGAACAGCCCTTGCGGTAGAAGTCGAGGGGTATACTTAACTATGCATACTGTTTGCGGTTACCCATAATAATTGGTATAGGGTTATTAACTACACCACAATGTACGCTTACTAGGCGCCGAGTTGTGTGTCATAACGTTATACAATGTATTATTATATTATTATTATAATATTGAAGTTTCCAAACAATATACTATTTATTTACGATTTTTTTGGTGGTGTCGATTGTCGACTCGTTTTGCAACGGTTATTAAATGTGGTGAAAA